GAGACAGAGAGAGAGAGAGAGAGAGAGAGAGAGAGAGAGAGAGAGAGAGAGAGAGAGAGACAGAGAGAGAGACAGAGAGAGAGAGATAGAGAGAGAGAGAGAGAGAGAGAGAGAGAGAGAGAGAGAGAGAGAGAGAGAGAGAGAGAGAGAGAGAGAGTGACAGACAGAGAGAGAGAGAGAGAGAGAGAGAGAGAGAGAGAGAGAGAGAGATAGAGAGAGAGAGAGAGAGAGAGAGAGAGAGAGAGAGAGAGAGAGACAGAGAGAGAGAGAGAAAGAGAGAGAGAGAGAGAGAGAGAGCATAAGCACCAACACATATATGTTTACAAAGCAATTTCCTCTAGGATAATATATACACAGACACCATCTCTAGTCATTACCACTTCATCACAACCTCGCGAATTCTATTTAGTAATATTTTAAATTCTCATATTTATTGTTTGATAACACGATTGTTCAAGGGATCCATTTAGAAGGTAATATACAGCGTGAGTCCTTTATATATGTGCGTTTCATGGTGTATATATGTGTCTTTCGTGGATTATCTGTTTGTTTTATGGTGTATGTGTGTGTTTCATGCTGTAATTATTTGTTTCATGGTTCATAGTGTTATATGTGTGTGTGTGTTTCATGATGTATATATGTGTTTATGGTGTATATGTGTGAATCCTATATATATATATATATATATATATATATATATATATATATATATATATATATATATATATATATATATATATATATATATATATATATATATATATATAGTTCTTCACCAATTGCTTTTAAATTTTAACACAACGTTCCATTCGAATATGCGCATGTTTTTATATACCTACTATATAGATGCCATACCTGTGACAGGTAAAAACATGCTTTTTTTTTTAAATCAGCGCCATCTGTTGCACGTAATAGCAACACATGCTATACTAAGTATGTTACGATTCCATTTCAATGTTTCTGATTGCATTGACAAATTGAATTTTCATAGATTTCAATTGTTTTTCATATTTATTTAATTATTTTGTGACATTGCGTTGGAATTGAACTGTGTTGTTTACCATACCGTTCATTTCATGAGTATAGTTTATTTTTTTGTTTCGTTTTTTAATTGTTTTTCTTATATTTCAGTGATGGGAACATCAGATCATTTGATATTCCCAGCAACGCGTGGCCGGGTAAAGCTAGTATATAATATTATATAATAAGTGTATAAGTAAAAATAAGGTAGCATTAATTCCTGCAGACATATGTTATTGAATATGACAGAAATATGATGAATGATTCTAGCACGAATCTTTACAATATTTCTTACGAACTTTGAAAAGAGATAATTTTTCAAATTTTTTCTCAAGTGAGAAACATAAGAAACACAGAGAAGATCCGTGCTAGAGTCACTGACCTCATCCTTCGAGTATATGTATGTAGGCTACATGTGTATGTAGGCTACATGTAAATACAAACGCACATATCCAAGAAACAGTTATACATTTGCAACTCCGTAAAAAAATGTAATTGTTTTGCCTATCCAGTAACGTACAAACCCAAGCAACCCACCAAGCATATCGAGGCCGAGAGAGGGAAAGCGCCATTGTTACGATGCTTGAATTTGCACTAATGCGTCGCATATTTTTATTTATTGTTGATTTTATTTGTTGGTTGATTGCTTAAACAAATTTGAAGTACTGGTTGACAGGACAAGTTGAGCTCCGACGCCAAAAAAAACTATCTTTCCTCTCTATCCACTCACTGTCAACTGGCTTACTCTAAGGTTGCAGCCAAGGCCCCCTGGAACCGGTAATGGTTCCTGATTGGCTGAGACACACGGCTGGAGTATCCTCATTAGTGGAGTCCTTTGGCTGGTGTGTGGGAAGGGAGGGGAGGAGGCTCTATCCGGCTCCAGAGGGCATCCAAGAACTGTTTTGAGGATTTCTATCTGGCTCCAGGAACGTCTTCCGGCTGGTGCGAGGATCTCGTACAGAAATTCTACATCGTTCATAATTAATTTTTATCCTCTGATGGTGGTTCGTGATGAGTGGCCACGAGAGGAGGGAGGGAGGGAGGGGAGGAAGGGGCATGGCCCTCCTCTTCATCAGATTATACCAGACCAGTCTCCCTATAATCAGATTAGTGCCCCTCGCAGCTGGGTTAGTGCTGGAAAGTTCGCATTAAACCATCACCATTTGCGCTGTACTCCAGTAACCCCTCAAAATAACATCTCTCTTTAATCTACTCTAATATCAAGCCCAGACTATTATAAAACCAATAACAACTCGTGTTGAACAATAGAACACTAGAGGAAAGACTAGTAAAAATCTAGAGGAAACTAGAACAATACCTGGAGGGAACTAGTGAAGGTACAGACACAGCCCGTTCCTCTCACACTTTGTTCGTCGCAATTTCTTACGGAGTTGACCAATGCGCCACAAATGCGACGCATTAGAATAAATTTAATCACTGTAATGTTGATGTCTCATTAGCCTCGATGGGTTAGGTGGGTTGCCAGGGTTGGTTCGTTTCTGGGTTAGGTAAAACAGTTACATTTGTTACGGAGGGGCAAGGGGAGAGAACGAGGCGAGAGATCTTGTTAGCTACTGATTACCTCACCTGACGATCACGGAGAGTTCCACACTTCCAAAGTTCTACGGACTTAAGTTCTTGAGGTGCTAAAGTTCTGCAGTTCTCCAATGAAAAAGTTCAAACGTTCTACCGTTCAAAAGTTCTACAGGTTAAAAATTCTGCAGTTCACTAAAAATGTCTTCATTGGTCTTTGTTATTTTGTTATCTTTATTGCGGACATATTTGCACCTCGTTTTCTATGTGGTTTGTGGTGGCCCAGTTGTATGAAGCTTTTACGGCCCAACCAGTCCTTTTGTGTACTTTTGACCAAATAGTTGTTATAAAATACTGTCGGTTTTGGAGGAGTTAAACCTGTGGATTACCTGTGGGTAACCTGTGGATTACCTGTGAATTAATTACCTGTGGGTTACCTTTGCCTGATCCTTTTCTTTTAATTATCTGTGTCTCACGTTTTAATTACTCATGGGTTACCCCTTTAATTACCTGTGTACCCAGCTGGGACTGAGAGGCCCAGCAGTCAGCAAGGGGGTCGAGGCTCCCTCGTCTTAATTCTTCATTAGTCGTCCCTAAGTCATATATATATATATATATATATATATATATATATATATATATATATATATATATATATATATATATATATATATATATATATATATATATCAAACATTCCTAAAAATTGCCAGCTAACTTTAGTGAGGCAGTTGTGTGCGTCCATTTAGGCCGCACACACCTGCCTGTCTCACTTTCTGGCAGGTGTGGAATGCAATTATAAACTAGAAAATATTTTACAATTGTTAAAAAAAAAAAAATGGGGGAATGTCAGAACTTGAACATTTTCTGGAAATTTTCAAACCTAAATATTTCAAGGAATTTTATGACGAACATAATATCTAGTAATTTTAAAACAAAGATTTTCTTGGAATTTCAAAATTTAAAAACAATTCTGCGGATTTCTCAGAACGTGACTATGACGCCACACCTTATGACGTCACACCTTATACGTCACACTGACCTCTTATACGTTACACTGACCACTGACGTGACACTGACCTCTGATGTCACAGCTGCCCCTCCCACGGTGAAAGAGAACAGTGTTGTGATACTGTAGTCCTCCCAGGGGAACTGCAACACCCACCTTGCAAGGGGCGACCATGGAACCCTTCACCCGTGCATCTCTGGAAGAGTGAGGCCCCCAGGGACAATGAAGCACGCTTAGGGAAGTTATTCACACTAGAGAGATGCCTCACTACAGGGAAAATCTCTCTCCCTAATGGGACAAGAGCGGGGCGGGGGTCACTTCATCACGGTTAAGAGCTGTTTGATGTTAGCTTAGATACGGGGGAATTATTCTACCAGTCTTTTTCTGGGTGGCTGGTTGTTGTGGTGGTGGTGGCTGGTTGTTGTGGTGGTGGCTGGTTGTTGTTGTGGTGGCTGGTTGTTGTGGTGGTGGCTGGTTGTTGTGGTGGTGGTGGCTGGTTGTTGTGGTGGTGGTGGCTGGTAGTGGTGGTGGTGGCTGGTTATTGTGGTGGTGGCTGGTTGTGTAAAGATGGTGGTGGCTGGTTGTTGTGGTGGTGGTCGCTGGTAGTGGTGGTGGTGGCTGGTTGTGTAAAGATGGTGGTGGCTGGTTGTTGTGGTGGTGGTCGCTGGTAGTGGTGGTGATGGCTGGTTGTGTAGTGGTGGTGGTGGCTGGTTGTGTAGTGGTTGATCGTAGTAGTGGAAGAAGCTGGTTGTGTAAGGGTGATTATCGTTGTTAGTAGTAGTAGTAGTAATGGTGGTTGTGACTGCTTGTGCATGGGCTGCCTACGTTGGTAGTGGTGGTAGTGCTGGCTACTTAGATTAAGGGGAGAGCAATAATTGTATAGCAAACTTGTAAGTCTGGTAGACAAGTGGAAGATTATGAAGTCTGGTAGATAAGGGAAGGCCTAAGAGGTGGCGCAGGGCAGAACACCAGCGCGAGGAGCTAGGCCTCACCTACCCCAAGACACTGAGAGCTAAGTACTAATAGGTAAACACCTTCCGCCCAGCGCCACTAGTACATCCCTATTTCAACGAACACCGAGAGCGTTGAAAAATAAATCATAGCGAGCTTGAATAGTTCAGGAGAGGAAAGGCAGTGTGCCAGCGGTGCTTGTTCGGCCTGGAATGACCCGTCTGTCCATCTGGCAGTTAGCTCCTGCATCATCTGCCTTCCCTGACAGTGCCCAACTGGCACTGTGCTCTCCGTAAGCCAGCGTTGACCTCTAATTGTAAATATCTTCACATGTCTGACAAAATTTTATGCCCGGTTGGAACAGCGAATGATTTATTGACGCAAATTTAGAGTGAGGATAAAAACGTTGGACCGTCCGGAGGAAAATTATTTACCGCTGTCAAAATCGACGTCAACCAGTCGACTAAAGTCGACGAATTATTCATACATAAGGATAGAGCTCGTACCCAGGAGACTCGTCGCTTCCAGGAAACTCCTCGCTTCCAGGAAAAACGTCGCTTCCAGGAGACTCGTCGCTTCCAGGAGACTCGTGGCTTCCAGGAGACTCGTCGCTTCCAGGAAACTCGTCGCTTCCAGGAGACTCGTCGCTTCCAGGAGACTCGTCGCTTCCAGGAGACTCGTCGCTTCCAGGAGACTCGTCGCTTCCAGGAGACTCGTCGCTTCCAGGAGACTCGTCGCTTCCAGGAGACTCGTCGCTTCCAGGAGACTCGTCGCTTCCAGGAGACTCGTCGCTTCCAGGAGACTCGTCGCTTCCAGGAGACTCGTCACTTCCAGGAGACTCGTCACTTGCAGGAGACTCGTCGCTTCCAGGAGACTCGTCGCTTGCAGGAGACTCGTCGCTTCCAGGAGACTCGTCGCTTCCAGGAGACTCGTCGCTTCCAGGAGACTCGTCGCTTCCAGGAGACTCGTCGCTTCCAGGGGACTCGTCGCTTCCAGGAGACTCGTCGCTTCCAGGAGACTCGTTGCTTCCAGGAGACTCGTCGCTTGCAGGAGACTCGTCGCTTCCAGGAGACTCGTCGCTTCCAGGAGACTCGTCGCTTCCAGGAGACTCGTCGCTTCCAGGAGACTCGTCGCTTCCAGGAGACTCGTCGCTTCCAGGGGACTCGTCGCTTCCAGGAGACTCGTCGCTTCCAGGAGACTCGTTGCTTCCAGGAGACTCGTCGCTTCCAGGAGACTCGTCGCTTCCAGGAGACTCGTCGCTTCCAGGAGACTCGTCACTTCCTTGGAGACTCGTCACTTCCAGGAGTCTCGTCGCTTCCAAAAGACTCGTCGCTTCCAGGAGACTCGTTGCTTCCAGGAGACTGGTCACTTCCAGGAGACTCGTCGCTTCCAGGAGACTCGTCACTTCCAGGAGACTCGTCACTTCCAGGAGACTCGTCACTTCCAGGAGACTCGTCGCTTCCAGGAGACTCGTTGCTTTCAGGAGACTCATCGCTTCCAGGAGACTCGTCACTTCCAGGAGACTCGTCACTTCCAGGAGACTCGTCGCTTCCAGGAGACTCGTCACTTCCAGGAGACTCGTCGCTTCCAGGAGACTCGTCACTTCCAGGAGACTCGTCACTTCCAGGAGACTCGTCACTTCCAGGAGACTCGTCGCTTCCAGGAGACTCGTCACTTCCAGGAGACTCGTCGCTTCCAGGAGACTCGTCGCTTCCAGGAGACTCGTCGCTTCCAGGAGACTCGTCGCTTTCAGGAGACTCGTCGCTTCCAGGAGACTCGACACCTCCAGGGGACTCGTCGCTTCCAGGATACTCAACACTTCCAGGAGACTCGACAGTAAGTTGACCAGACCACACACTAGAAGGTGAAGGGACGACGACGTTTCGGTCCGTCCTGGACCATTCTCAAGTCAATTGAGAATGAGTTACTCGACAGTAACACAATATTTGTATTCCTGTGAGCGTGCGTGATCACTTGGATGTGTTTGCAGGATTCAGCTCTTAAGCCCCACCTTTCCAACTATCATTTGGTGAACACTTTGACAATTCTACAATTTATCTTATAGTAGTTACTCTTGAAAATGTATATTGCAAAAGTTTGCTTCATAAATATTCCTGTCTATTGTTGAAAAATATCTTTTTACATTTCTGCGACACATTTCCGCCTCCATTTTCTATGATTGTAACACCAATTTACTATTTCTCATTGTGAACATATTTGATAATTTCCAATATAATTGGCATGTCGCTAACATGTCTCACTTCTCCTTTCATATACTTCAGTAAAATTATCTAAATTGTTTATGTATTTTTTCAAATTTAGTATTCTATCACCGGGGCAGCATACTGAAAGGGGGATGTCACATGCAATCTATGCAATACTTACTATAAGCCTATCTGTTCTGAACGCACCTGCTCTGAACGCACCTGTTCTGAACGCACCTGTTCTGAACGCACCTGCTCTGAACGCACCTGTTCTGAACGCACCTGCTCTGAACGCACCTGTTCTGAACGCACCTGCTCTTAGGCTGTAGGATGGTTAGTACTCAGAGAGGGAAGGGAAGGGGACTATGTGGAGAAAGTGACAAGCCCTTACGACAATATAGCACTTGGAAGAGATCTGGAAAATGATTTGGGATGGGACGGGGGGGGAAGGGGGAAAGGAGTGGTGCCCAACCACTTGGACGGTCGGGGATTGAACGCCGACCTGCATGAAGCGAGACCGTCGCTCTATCGTCCAGCCCAGAGAGGGCGGACCTAAATCGGATCCGTCCAAACCTCTGGTTATGTTTGTAGCGACCCTCACCCTTGAATAGATGTGTAGCACCCTTGGGAGCCTTTACGGGGCTCCTACGTGCACGCTCTCTCTCTCTCTCACACACACGCCACACATACACATTATATATATATATATATATATATATATATATATATATATATATATATATATATATATATATATATATATATATATATATATATATATATATATATATATATATATGACCAAAAAAGTAAGATTAATAATTCTAACACGAATTTTCTCAATATTTCTTATGTTTCTTTTCACTGTCGATGGTAATTGAAAAATCAATTCTCCAAAATTCATTTTTATTTCTAGTCTGACGTGACACTTGAACGCGTTTCGTAATAACTTATTGCATTTTCAAAGACTTTTAGTTTACACACACACAACTATTACCTGCAAACACTAAACAGAGTTCTTACTTATGCTATGATTTAAACAGCTTTCATTTTTCATTTTATACCCGCATTTTGGGTGAGGTGATATGTTACAACAGTTTTGGATGAGGTGAACAAAACTTTCAACACAGGATAGAACACGAAACAATGGGTATTGAAGGTAAGAATGGAAGTAATTGCAGATGGCCTATTGGCCCATATTTCTTGATGCTTCTATATTGGAGCGGAGTCTTGAAGTGGGTAGAATATAGTTGTGCATTAATTGGCTGTTGATTGCTGGTGTTGACTTCTTGATGTGTAGTGCCTCACAGATGTCAAGCCGCCTGCTATCGCTGTATCTATCGATGATTTCTGTGTTGTTTGCTAAGATTTCTCTGGTGATGGTTTGGTTGTGGGAAGAGATTATATGTTCCTTAATGGAGCCCTGTTGCTTATGCATCGTTAATCGCCTGGAAAAAGTTGTTGTTGTCTTGCCTATATACTGAGTTTTTTGAGGCTTACAGTCCCCAAGAGGGCATTTGAAGGCATAGACGACGTTGGTCTCTTTTAAAGCGTTCTGTTTTGTGTCTGGAGAGTTTCTCATGAGTAGGCTGGCCGTTTTTTTGGGTTTATAGTAAATTGTCAGTTGTATCTTCTGATTTTTGTCTGTAGGGATAACGTTTCTATTAACAAGCTGTGGAAAAGAAGTTCCTGTAAAACAGTCTAATAGGGGGGTATAGGTGTTGTGTTAGTTGTCTCTTCAGAGGTTGATATATATATATATATATATATATATATATATATATATATATATATATATATATATATATATATTGCAGAAGAGAGAGAGGAGGTGACATGAGACGAGCGCGGGAACTTCACATCAGCCTGGGGCCATCATTTAAAACTCCCGCCAACAACAATCACGTGACAGCCATTGCCGATGGCGGGAAACCGGTGGCGACATGAAAGTGAGGGGAAGAGACAAGCGACTCTGGCCCCTCAGGCGCCGCGGAATAAGACCGATTGCTTCCCCCTTACCCCCGTTGTCGCTAATACCCATCAAGACCCAAGGACACACGCATTATTTCAGCTGACGTTTAGCTATTGAAAAGAATCCTCGGGAGGAGGCCGCTCGGAGCTGGTTAGCAGCGTGTGCGCCGCCATTCAGTGGGTGGCCGCTCCTAGGCATCGACCTGTTGGGACAAATCGTCTTCATTATGAAAAGGCACGAGCTGGGCCGCGCGCGCACGCCGTGTGCGTGCGCGGCGCGCGTGTGGCCCCTAAGCATGGCCCCCGGGCCCCCCATCATGTTAAGCACAGTTCACACGGCCCACACAGGGACAAGCTGCCCCCTAATTGCCTCCCGATTTTCCTGCTACAGAATTGCCAATGTTTCCATCAATTGACTTCTGTTCTTGTCTCCTTTAATGCAGTGAAGAAATGTTCTTGTGACTAAATGGTCAATGCATTTGTTGGGGATGTATTTATTATTTGTATTATTGTGTTAGCTCTTGGACCCCGCCTTTCTAAACGATGCTTGTGTAATATAGTGCGATTCTATCATATCTACTATATATTTCTCTTTCACAAGCACACCCAGGAGCAAGAAGCAGCCCTTTCTAACTCCCGGGGACGTGTTTACTGCTAGGTGAACAGGGTCATCAGGTGGAAGATGGGAAGGGAATTATCAGGGGATAGCGCCAGGCCATTACGACTATATAACATTTGGAAGGGGTCAGGATAAGGATTTGGGATGGGACGGGGTAAAGTAATGGTGCCCAACCACTTTGACGGTCGGGGGATTGAACGCCGACCTGCATCAACCGTCGCTGGTCTAGTGAATAATGTGGGAGTGTAGCCAGTTATTTATCATATTTTGTATTTATATAAAGATATATTTATTGAATACTAAGCATAACAGGTAAAGGTGTACAGGCAAGTTATGGCTTACACGAGTCATGAGTCACGGGACCCACGAGTCACGGGAATCATGAGTCACGGGACTCATGAGTCACGGGAATCATGAGTCACGGGACTCATGAGTCACGGGACCCATGAGTCACGGGACTCATGAGTCACGGGAATCATGAGTCACGGGACCCATGAGTCACGGGACTCATGAGTCACGGGACCCATGAGTCACGGGAATCATGAGTCACGGGACCCATGAGTCACGGGACCCATGAGTCACGGGACCCATGAGTCACGGGACCCACGAGACACGGGACCCATGAGTCACGGGACTCATGAGTCACGGGACCCATGAGTCACGGGACTCATGAGTCACGGGACCCATGAGTCACGGGACCCATGAGTCACGGGACCCATGAGTCACGGGACTCATGAGTCACGGGACCCATGAGTCACGGGACCCACGAGTCACGGGACCCACGAGACACGGGACCCATGAGTCACGGGATCCACGAGACACGGGACCCACGAGACACGGGACCCACGAGACACGGAACCCATGAGTCACGGGATCCACGAGACACGGGACCCACGAGACACGGGACCCATGAGTCACGGGACTCATGAGTCACGGGACTCATGAGTCACGGGACCCATGAGTCACGGGACTCATGAGTCACGGGACCCACGAGTCACGGGACCCACGAGTCACGGGACCCACGAGTCACGGGACCCACGAGTCACGGGACCCACGAGTCACGGGACCCACGAGTCACGGGACCCACGAGTCACGGGACCCACGAGTCACGGGACTCATGAATAAGCACTCACCTTCGGGACACTCTCCTGATGCTTTCTAAATCACTTGGTACCCGCAAGACCAACTCTAACAGATAGGCCTTAAATCGACAAGTGCCACTTCAAACATTGACTCGTCGAGTGCATATAAACAAGGACTCAAGTGGCACGTAAGTGTCTTATTAAGTGTATGTTAGCAAAGATATAATACATTTTAATTATTAATAATTAAAAATCGACGAGATTTACCTTGTCTTGGAGCCTATGAGTGATTAATTGATGGATGGAACTGTTCCAATTAATGTCAAGTTTCTTCTAATATCAAAGGGATAAAAGTAGGAATTTAATTTTTGTTCGGCAATGTTGTCTTTGAGATGATACCGGGTGATATTTATATTAGTGATAGCCTATAGAGAGCAGAGGGTAGAATGAGAGGCATTCTTGTCTTCCTTGTGGCTGTCAGCACTCCTACACCTCCTGGGGCTCTGTCAGCTCCTCCTGGGGCTCTGTCAGCTCCTCCTGGGGCTCTGTCAGCTCCTCCTGGGGCTCTGTCAGCTCCTCCTGGGGCTCTGTCAGCTCCTCCTGGGGCTCTGTCAGCTCCTCCTGGGGCTCTGTCAGCTCCTCCTGGGGCTCTGTCAGCTCCTCCTGGGGCTCTGTCAGCTCCTCCTGGGGCTCTGTCAGCTCTCCTCTTTGTCTCAGCCCTACTCCAAAGTCCTGCCTCTGTCAGCCCTTCGAGAGTTGTGCGTGGAGGAGCCAAGTTTTCAGGAGGTCAGGCAGAGGATGGGAGTGCCGCTGGCTCGCTCACACACACACACACTCACACTCACACACACACACACACACACACACACACACACACACACACACACACACACACGCGCGCGCGCGCGAGAGAGAGAGAGAAGACGCTGGCAAAAACACGACATCCATTAGACTAGCTCAACCTTTTAGAGGGTCCATTTACACAACGCTCGGCCGCCGTCGTTTACTCTCCGCTACGCCCAGTTCCTCAATACCATAGAAAACGGGCAGGAAATCATGAAGAAACCAAGACTCGGAAATAGCATGGAAAATGGGAATACAGTCGTTGTCCATAAAGCTGTCACGAGGCTTTTTGCGCTCTGTTTAGGGAGATTGACTTATTATATTTATGGAAAGTGGAAGAAAGTAGTTGGGATATCTTACTGTGATATCATTTTGTAGCCAGGTCTCTCAGACGGAGTCACAGTGCTCCCCTGGAACTACGGTAGGTAGTTCGTGTGGGATCAGGGACCAGATTCACGAAGAAGTTACGCAAGGACTTACGAACGTGTACATCTTTCCTCAATCTTTGGCGGCTTTGGTTACATTTATTAAACAGTTTACAAGCGTGAAAACTTCCTAATGAACTGTTGTTATTGTTATAAACAGTCTCCTGGTGCTTCGGAGCTCATTAACTGTCAAATAATTGTAAACAAAGCCGCCAAAGATTGAGAAAAGATGTACAGGTTCGTAAGTGCTTGCGTAACTGCTTCGTGAATCTGGGCCCAGGGATCTAAGCTCATCGGAACAGCGAGAGACCCAAGAGCAGCCAACCACCTTTTTTCCATCACTTCACTATCACAGTTCAGAGAGGAATCACACACACTGCATTTTCGGTTCGTGCCTGGCATCCGACGTGCTTGTAGTGCCTAATAGCAGTGGCAAAGTTAATAGCCACTACAACCAGTGGCTATTAACTTTGTACTTTTTTATGTAACCAATTTTGTAATCATTCGTGTGTTATAATGAGCGAGTGATTGGAGAATACAACTGTTTCTGTAGTGTAGTCTATCATAACATTACTCAGCCTTGTTTGTGAGTGATACTCATCCACAACCAACATGGAGGACTGGCAAGGAGTATTTTGTGTTAGGATGTATGAATGTGCTTACTGAAAGGAAGATGGTGTGTGCAGTGATGATGAACGTCAAGATCATGTCTTCTCACCTGTTCACTTGGCAATACATAGCTGCACTGGAGTAAGGAATCTGTTGTGGCCTGCCGTAGCTCCTAGGCAGATCTCGGCAAGCCTAAAACGCTTTCAGTCCCCGACAACGGGTGACGTGGAAAAAAAATAATTCCATTAATTCCCGACAGCGTTTCAACAGACTGGATAATGATACTAAAAAAACAAAGAATATTATTATCCTTCAAATCATTCATTATATATAATATGGCACAAGTGTTTTGTTTCTAGGAAGCCACAGTATCTCCAGCCCGCAGCCGACGCTCGTCTTGGGAGAGAACAGCTGAGAGAGGGTTAATTTATCTCAAGTTTGGAGGGAACACAGATTTTTCGCTTCATATCGTAAACGATTAAGAAAATGGGAACCTTTCTATTGCTCATCGTCTGCCGGGGGTGACTCAAACTTGTCTGAATGGCCGGAAGGAGATAGGGTAAGTGGCCCTGGTGGGGGAGAGGTGGCCCTGGTGGGGGAGAGGTGGCCCTGGTGGGGGAGAGGTGGCCCTGGTGGGGGAGAGGTGGCTCTGGTGGGGGAGAGGTGGCCCTGGTGGGGGAGAGGTGGCCCTGGTGGGAGAGAGGTGGCCCTGGTGGGGGAGAGGTGGCCCTGGTGGGAGGGAAGGTGGCCCTGGTGGGGGCTAGGTGGCCCTGGTGGGGACTAGGTGGCCCTGGTGGGAGAGAGGTGGCCCTGGTGGGGGGAGAGGTGGCCCTGGTGGGGGCTAGGTGGCCCTGATGGGAGAGAGGTGGCCCTGGTGGGAGGAGAGGTGGCCCGGGTGGGGGCTAGGTGGCCCTGGTGGGGGCTAGGTGGCCCTGGTGGGGGAGAGGTGGCCCTGGTGGGGGAGAGGTGGCCCTGGTGGGGGCTAGGTGGCCCTGGTGGGGGAGAGGTGGCCCTGGTGGGGGAGAGGTGGCCCTGGTGGGGGAGAGGTGGCCCTGGTGGGGGAGAGGTGGCCTTGGTGGGGGAGAGGTGGCCCTGGTGGGGGAGAGGTGGCCCTGGTGGGGGGAGAGGTGGGCCTGGTGGGGGCTAGGTGGCCCTGGTGGGAAAGAGGTGGCCCTGGTGGGGGAGAGGTGGCCCTGGTGGAGGAGAGGTGGCCCTGGTGGGGGCTAGGTGGCCCTGGTGGGAGAGAGGTGGCCCTGGTGGGGGAGAGGTGGCCCTGGTGGGAGAGAGGTGGCCCTGGTGGGGGAGAGGTGGCCCTGGTGGGAGAGAGGTGGCCCTGGTGGGGGCTAGGTGGCCCTGGTGGGAGAGAGGTGGCCCTGGTGGGGAGAGGTGGCCCTGGTGGGGGAGAGGTGGCCCTGGTGGGGGCTAGGTGGCCCTGGTGGGAGAGAGGTGGCCCTGGTGGGGGCTAGGTGGCCCTGGTGGGGGCTAGGTGGCCCTGGTGGGGGAGAGGTGGCCCTGGTGGGGGAGAGGTGGCCCTGGTGGGAGCTAGGTGGCCCTGGTGGGGGAGAGGTGGCCCTGGTGTGGGAGAGGTGGCCCTGGTGGGGAAGAGGTGGCCCTGGTGGGGGAGAGGTGGCCCTGGTGGGAGAGAGGTGGCCCTGGTGGGGGAGAGGTGGCCCTGGTGGGGGAGAGGTGGCCCTGGTGGGGGAGAGGTGGCCCTGGTGGGGGAGAGGTGGCCCTGGTGAGGGAGAGGTGGCCCTGGTGGGGAAGAGGTGGCGCTGGTGGGGGAGAGGTGGCCCTGGTGGGGGAGAGGTGGCCCTGGTGGGGCTAGGTGGCCATGGTGGGGGCTAGGTGGCCCTGGTGGGGGAGAGGTGACCTTGGTGGGGGAGAGGTGGCCCTGGTGGGGGAGAGGTGGCCCTGGTGGGGGAGAGGTGGCCCTGGTGGGGGAGAGGTGGCCCTGGTGGGGGAGAGGTGGCCCTGGTGGGGGAGAGGTGGCCCTGGTGGGGAGAGGTGGCCCTGGTGAGGGAGAGGTGGCCCTGGTGGGGAAGAGGTGGCGCTGGTGGGGGAGAGGTGGCCCTGGTGGGGGAGAGGTGGCCCTGGTGGGGGCTAGGTGGCCATGGTGGGGGCTAGGTGGCCCTGGTGGGGGAGAGGTGACCTTGGTGGGGGAGAGGTGGCCCTGGTGGGGGAGAGGTGGCCCTGGTGGGGAGAGGTGGCCCTGGTGGGGGCTAGGTGGCCCTGGTTGGGGAGAGGTGACCTTGGTGGGGGAGAGGTGGCCCTGGTGGGGAAGAGGTGGCCCTGGTGGGGGAGAGGTGGCCCTTGGTGGGAGAGAGGTGGCCCTGGTGGGGGAGAGGTGGCCCTGGTGGGGGAGAGGTGGCCCTGGTGGGGGAGAGGTGGCCCTGGTGAGGGAGAGGTGGCCCCGGTGGGGAAGAGGTGGCGCTGGTGGGGGAGAGGTGGCCCTGGTGGGGGAGAGGTGGCCCTGGTGGGGGCTAGGTGGCCCTCGTGGGGGAGAGGTGGCCCTGGTGGGGGAGAGGTGGCCCTGGTGGAGGCTAGGTGGCCCTGGTGGGGGAGAGGTGGCCCTGGTGGGAGCAAGGTGGCATTGGTGGGGGCTAGGTGGCCCTGGTGGGGGAGAGGTGGCCCTGGTGGGGGAGAGGTGGCCCTGGTGGGGGCTAGGTGGCCCTGGTGGGGGAGAGGTGGCCCTGGTGGGGGAGAGGTGACCCTGGAGGGGGAGAAAGGCAGAAGTACAGTGGGAGAGAGAGTAGTTGCTGGGAGTACAGTGGGAGAGAGAGTAGTTGCTGGGAGTACAGTGGGAGAGAGTAGTTGCTGGGAGTACAGTGGGAGAGAGCAGTTGTTGGGAGTACAGTGGGAGAGAGAGCAGTGGCTGGGAGTACAGTGGGAGAGAGAGTAGTTGCTGGGAGTACAGTGGGAGAGAGAGTAGTTGCTGGGAGTACAGTGGGAGAGAGAATAGTTGCTGGGAGTACAGTGGGAGAGAGCAGTTGCTGGGAGTACAGTGGGAGAGAGCAGTTGCTGGGAGTACAGTGGGAGAGAGAGCAGTGGCTGGGAGTACAGTGGGAGAGAGAGTAGTTGCTGGGAGTACAGTGGGAGAGAGAGTAGTTGCTGGGAGTAAAGTTGGAGAGAGAGTAGTTGCTGGGAGTACAGTGGGAGAGAGCAGTTGCTGGGAGTACAGTGGGAGAGAGCAGTTGCTGGGAGTACAGTGGGAGAGAGAGCAGTGGCTGGGAGTACAGTGGGAGAGAGAGTAGTTGCTGGGAGTACAGTGGGAGAGAGAGTAGTTACTGGGAGTACAGTGGGAGAGAGAGTAGTTGCTGGGAGTACAGTGGGAGAGAGCAGTTGCTGGGAGTACAGTGGGAGAGAGCAGTTGCTGGGAGTACAGTGGGAGAGAGAGCAGTTGCTGGGAGTACAGTGGGAGAAAGAGTAGTTGCTGGGAGTACAGTGGGAGAGAGAGTAGTTGCTGGGAGTACAGTGGGAGAGAGAGTAGTTGCTGGGAGTACAGTGGGAGAGAGTAGTTGCTGGGAGTACCGTGGGAGAGAGTAGTTGCTGGGAGTACAGTGGGAGAGAGCAGTTGCTGGGAGTACAGTGGGAGAGAGAGTAGTTGCTGGGAGCACAGTGGGAGAGAGTAGCTGCTGGGAGTACAGTGGGAGAGAGAGTAGTTGCTGGGAGTACAGTGGGAGAGAGAGTAGTTGCTGGGAGCACAGTGGGAGAGAGAGTAGTTGCTGGGAGTACAGTGAGAGAGAGTAGCTGTTGGGAGTACAGTGGGAGAGAGAGTAGTTGCTGGAAGTACAGTGGGAGAGAGAGTAGGTGCTGGGAGCACAGTGGGAGAGAGTAGCTGCTGGGAGTACAGTGGGAGAGAGAGTAGTTGCTGGGAGCACAGTGGGAGAGAGAGTAGTTGCTGGGAGCACAGTGGGAGAGAGTAGCTGCTGGGAGTACAGTGGGAGAGAGAGTAGTTGCTGGGAGCACAGTGGGAGAGAGAGTAGTTGCTGGGAGTACAGTGGGAGAGAGTAGCTGCTGGGAGTACAGTGGGAGAGAGAGTAGTTGCTGGGAGTACAGTGGGAGAGAGAGTAGCTGCTGGGAGTACAGTGGGAGAGAGTAGTTGCTGGGAGTACCGTGGGAGAGAGAGTAGCTGCTGGGAGTACAGTGGGAGAGAGAGTAGTTGCTGGGAGTACAGTGGGAGAGAGTAGCTGCTGGGAGTACAGTGGGAGAGAGAGTAGTTGCTGGGAGCACAGTGGGAGAGAGAGTAGCTGCTGGGAGTACAGTGGGAGAGAGAGTAGTTGCTGGGAGTACAGTGGGAGAGAGAGTAGCTGCTGGGAGTACAGTGGGAGAGAGAGTAGTTGCTGGGAGTACAGTGGGAGAGAGTAGTTGCTGGGAGTACAGTGGGAGAGAGAGTAGCTGCTGGGAGTACAGTGGGAGAGAGTAGTTGCTGGGAGTACAGTGGGAGAGAGAGTAGTTGCTGGGAGCACAGTGGGAGAGAGAGTAGTTGCTGGGAGCACAGTGGGAGAGAGTAGCTGCTGGGAGTACAGTGGGAGAGAGAGTAGTTGCTGGGAGCACAGTGGGAGAGAGAGCAGTTGCTGGGAGCACAGTGGGAGAGAGAGTAGTTGCTGGGAGTACAGTGGGAGAGAGAGTAGTTGCTGGGAGTACAGTGGGAGAGAGAGTAGTTGCTGGGAGTACAGTGGGAGAGAGAGTAGTTGCTGGGAGTACAGTGGGAGAGAGAGTAGTTGCTGGGAGTACAGTGGGAGAGAGTAGTTGCTGGGAGTACAGTGGGAGAGAGAGTAGTTGCTGGGAGTACAGTGGGAGAGAGAGTAGCTGCTGGGAGTACAGTGGGAGAGAGAGTAGTTGCTGGGAGTACAGTGGGAGAGAGAGTAGTTGCTGGGAGTACAGTGGGAGAGAGTAGTTGCTGGGAGTACAGTGGGAGAGAGAGTAGTTGCTGGGAGTACAGTGGGAGAGAGAGTAGTTGCTGGGAGTACAGTGGGAGAGAGAGTAGTTGCTGGGAGTACCGTGGGAGAAGAATACTAGAGGGAGCGTCGTGATGCTAGATTTATTTGTTTACAGCTGTCCACCCAGGCTGATGGGAGAAATGTGGGAGACTCGTAAATATGGCCGCCCCTGTTGCCTCCTCCTCCTCCTTCTCCCCCTCTCTCTCTCTCCTTCTTCTTCTCCTCCTCCTCCTCTTCCTCCTCCTCCTTACCTAACAGTACCTACAGGGTAGTGGGGCCTATATCCTCGGCCCCGCCTGCCAGCTATGGTGTACCTGGTGCCTAATAATTTAAAGGTTCAGACTACCTACCTTGAGGTGCTTCCGGGGCTTAGTGTCCCCGCGGCCCGGTCGTCGACCAGACGTTCAAATTCTTTGTCGAATCTGTCCTTGAAGACGTGGCTGGAGGTGGCTTCCACAGCTTCTTACAGAGCGTTGGCCGCCCGTACCGGGTACCAGTATGTCCTCACATTCCTTCGACTCGTTTGTGTACAGCTTCCACTTGTGTTCTCTTGTTCTATTTTCCTTCTTTTTAAAATGAGCTATTTTCGTCAAGCTTGTTTAGTTCTCTCGGTATCTCGTATGTTGCAATCATATCCCCTATGGTTCTTCTCGCTTCTAGATTTAATTGCAATTGCCTATCCTAATAGCTTAACTCTCTTATTTCTGGCACCAGTCTTATTAAAAACCTCGCTTCTTTTTCAGTTTTGACTTTATATATGCTTCATAGGGTGAAGCATATATAAATATATGCATATATGAAACATATATGAATCATATATATATGATTCTAAGCGGTGCTGCATATTCCGATATTGGTCTGACATATGTCGTGTAGACTGCACTGAAGGCGTCCTGATTTACGTTTCTAAACGATGTGCTTATATTTACCAGCGTCCCATATGCTGCTGATGCTACTTCGTTCAAGTGTGCCTTCGGTGTTAGTGTTGGAATGTCATCTACTCTCAGATCTTTCTTTCCAATTCCTGTAGTTACTTTTTCCCCGTGTGTTGGAGATGCCTCTTAGCCTCTTTACACACTTTCCCTTTTTCATAACCTTACACCTGTTGGGATTGAATTCCAGCAACCATTTATTTACCCACTTCTGGAGTCTGTCAAGGGACTCCTGCAACTTCCTGCAGTCATCTGCAAACATTGACATCAATTAATTCAATTCCACGAGGATATCTTCACATAACTTGTCACCCTTAACTTTCTGGTTATTGCTTGCTGCTCTCTCTCACCTTTTTCCTTAACTGTTTACGTATGTCAACACCTTCCCACATGTTCTTCGTTCTGTTCTCTCCCATATGTTCTTCGTTCTGTTCCCTCACACATGTTCTTCGTTCTGTTCCCTCCCATATGTTCTTCGTCATGTTCCCTCACACATGCTCTTCGTTCTGTTCCCTCCCACTTGTTCTTCGTTCTGTTCCCTCCCACTTGTTCTTCGTTCTGTTCCCTCACACATGTTCTTCGTCATGTTCCCTCACACATGCTCTTCGTTCTGTTCCCTCCCACTTGTTCTTCGTTCTGTTCCCTCCCACTTGTTCTTCGTTCTGTTCCCTCCCACTTGTTCTTCGTTCTGTTCCCTCCCACTTGTTCTTCGTTCTGTTCCCTCACACATGTTCTTCGTGCTGTTCCCTCCCACATGTTCTTCGTTCTGTTCCCTCACACATGTTCTTCGTTCTGTTCCCTCACACATGTTCTTCGTTATGTTCCCTCACACATGTTCTTCGTTCTGTTCCCTCCCACTTGTTCTTCGTTCTGTTCCCTCCCATATGTTCTTCGTCATGTTCCCTCACACATGTTCTTCGTTCTGTTCCCTCCCACTTGTTCTTCGTTCTGTTCCCTCCCACTTGTTCTTCGTTCTGTTCCCTCCCACTTGTTCTTCGTTCTGTTCCCTCACACATGTTCTTCGTTCTGTTCCCTCCCATATGTTCTTCGTCATGTTCCCTCACACATGTTCTTCGTTCTGTTCCCTCCCACTTGTTCTTCGTTCTGTTCCCTCCCACTTGTTCTTCGTTCTGTTCCCTCCCACTTGTTCTTCGTTCTGTTCCCTCACACATGTTCTTCGTTCTGTTCCCTCACACATGTTCTTCGTTCTGTTCCCTCCCACTTGTTCTTCGTTCTGTTCCCTCCCACTTGTTCTTCGTTCTGTTCCCTCCCACTTGTTCTTCGTTCTGTTCCCTCCCACTTGTTCTTCGTTCTGTTCCCTCCCACTTGTTCTTCGTTCTGTTCCCTCACACATGTTCTTCGTTCTGTTCCCTCCCACTTGTTCTTCGTTCTGTTCCCTCCCACTTGTTCTTCGTTCTGTTCCCTCACACATGTTCTTCGTTCTGTTCCCTCCCACTTGTTCTTCGTTCTGTTCCCTCCCACTTGTTCTTCGTTCTGTTCCCTCACACATGTTCTTCGTTCTGTTCCCTCCCACTTGTTCTTCGTTCTGTTCCCTCCCACTTGTTCTTCGTTCTGTTCCCTCCCACTTGTTCTTCGTTCTGTTCCCTCACACATGTTCTTCGTTCTGTTCCCTCACACATGTTCTTCGTTCTGTTCCCTCACACATGTTCTTCGTTATGTTCCCTCACACATGTTCTTCGTTCTGTTCCCTCACACATGTTCTTCGTTCTGTTCCCTCACACATGTTCTTCGTTCTGTTCCCTCACACATGTTCTTCGTTATGTTCCCTCACACATGTTCTTCGTTATGTTATGTTCCCTCACACATGTTCTTCGTTCTGTTCCCTCACACATGTTCTTCGTTCTGTTCCCTCACACATGTTCTTCGTTCTGTTCCCTCACACATGTTCATCGTTCTGTTCCCTCCCACTTGTTCTTCGTTCTGTTCCCTCACACATGTTCTTCGTTCTGTTCCCTCACACATGTTCTTCGTTCTGTTCCCTCCCACTTGTTCTTCGTTCTGTTCCCTCACACATGTTCTTCGTTCTGTTCCCTCACACATGTTCTTCGTTCTGTTTCCCTCACACATGTTTCTTCGTTATGTTCCCTCACACATGTTCTTCGTTCTGTTCCCTCACACATGTTCTTCGTTCTGTTCCCTCACACATGTTCTTCGTTCTGTTCCCTCCCACTTGTTCTTCGTTCTGTTCCCTCCCATGTTCCCTCACACATGTTCTTCGTTCGTTCCCTCACACATGTTCTTCGTTCTGTTCCCTCACACATGTTCTTCGTTCTGTCCCTCCCACTTGTTCTTCTTCGTCTGTTCCCTCACACATTGTTCTTCGTTCTGTTCCCTCACACATGTTCTTCGTTCTGTTCCCTCACACATGTTCTTCGTTATGTTCCCTCACACATGTTTCTTCGTTCTGTTCCCTCACACATGTTCTTCGTTCTGTTCCCTCACACATGTTCTTCGTTCTGTTCCCCCCCACTTGTTCTTCGTTCTGTTTCCCTCCCACTTGTTCTTCGTTCTGTTCCCTCACACATGTTCTTCGTTCTGTTCCTCCCACTTGTTCTTCGTTCTGTTCCCTCCCACTTGTTCTTCGTTCTATTTCCTCCCACTTGTTCTTCGTTCTGTTCCCTCCCACTTGTTCTTCGTTCTGTTCCCTCACACATGTTCTTCGTTCTGTTCCCTCCCACTTGTTCTTCGTTCTGTTCCCTCCCACTTGTTCTTCGTTCTGTTCCCTCCCACTTGTTCTTCGTTCTGTTCCCTCACACATGTTCTTCGTTCTGTTCCCTCACACATGTTCTTCGTTCTGTTCCCTCACACATGTTCTTCGTTCTGTTCCCTCACACATGTTCTTCGTTCTGTTCCCTCCCACTTGTTCTTCGTTCTGTTCCCTCACACATGTTCTTCGTTCTGTTCCCTCACACATGTTCTTCGTTCTGTTCCCTCACACATGTTCTTCGTTATGTTCCCTCACACATGTTCTTCGTTCTGTTCCCTCACACATGTTCTTCGTTCTGTTCCCTCACACATGTTCTTCGTTCTGTTCCCTCCCACTTGTTCTTCGTTCTGTTCCCTCCCACTTGTTCTTCGTTCTGTTCCCTCACACATGTTCTTCGTTCTGTTCCCTCCCACTTGTTCTTCGTTCTGTTCCCTCCCACTTGTTCTTCGTTCTGTTCCCTCACACATGTTCTTCGTTCTGTTCCCTCCCACTTGTTCTTCGTTCTGTTCCCTCCCACTTGTTCTTCGTTCTGTTCCCTCACACATGTTCTTCGTTCTGTTCCCTCCCACTTGTTCTTCGTTCTGTTCCCTCACACATGTTCTTCGTTCTGTTCCCTCCCATACCAAGTAATTTGCATGTATTTGTGTGAACATTCTGGATAACAGCACACAAGAAGGTGCAACAAACAAGACGGTGCAACAAACAAGAAGGTGCAACAAACAAGAAGGTGCAACAAACAAGACGGTGCAACAAACAAGAAGGTGCAACAAACAAGAAGGTGCAACAAACAAGAAGGTGCAACAAACAAGAAGGTGCAACAAACAAGAAGGTGCACAAACAAGACGTGCAACAAACAAGAAGGTGCAACAAACAAGAAGGTGCAACAAACAAGACGGTGCAACAACAAACGACGGTGCAACAAACAAGACGGTGCAACAAACAAGAAGGTGCAACAAACAAGAAGGTGCAACAAACAAGAAGGTGCAACAAACAAGACGGTGCAACAAACAAGAAGGTGCAACAAACAAGACGGTGCAACAAACAAGAAGGTGCAACAAACAAGACGGTGCAACAAACAAGACGGTGCAACAAACAAGAAGGTGCAACAACAAGACGGTGCAACAACAAGAAGGTGCAACAAACAAGACGGTGCAACAAACAAGAAGGTGCAACAAACAAGACGGTGCAACAAACAAGACGGTGCAACAAACAAGACGGTGCAACAAACAAGACGGTGCAACAAACAAGACGGTGCAACAAACAAGACGGTGCAACAAACAAGACGGTGCAACAAACAAGACGGTGCAACAAACAAGACGGTGCAACAAACAAGACGGTGCAACAAACAAGACGGTGCAACAAACAAGACGGTGCAACAAACAAGACGGTGCAACAACAAGACGGTGCAACAAACAAGACGGTGCAACAAACAAGACGGTGCAACAAACAGAAGTTGCAACAAACAAGACGGTGCAACAAACAAGAAGTGCAACAAACAAGACGGTGCAACAAACAAGAAGGTGCAACAAACAGACGGTGCAACAAACAAGACGGTGCAACAAACAAGACGGTTCAACAAACAAGAAGGTGCAACAAACAAGACGGTGCAACAAACAAGACGGTGCAACAACAAGAGGTGCAACAAACAAGAAGGTGCAACAAACAAGAAGGTGCAACAAACAAGAAGGTGCAACAAACAAGACGGTGCAACAAACAAGACGGTGCAACAAACAAGAAGGTGCAACAAACAAGAAGGTGCAACAAACAAGAAGGTGCAACAAACAAGGTGCAACAAACAGACGGTGCAACAAACAACGGTGCAACAAACAAGACGGTGCAACAAACAAGAAGGTGCAACAAACAAGACGGTGCAACAAACAGACGGTTGCAACAACAAGAAGGTGCAACAAACAAGAAGGTGCAACAAACAAGACGGTGCAACAAACAAGAGGTGCAACAACAAGACGGTGCAACAAACAAGAAGGTGCAACAAACAAGAAGGTGCAACAAACAAGGTGCACAAACAAACGGTGCAACAAACAAGACGGTGCAACAAACAAGACGGTGCAACAAACAAGAAGGTGCAACAAACAAGAAGGTGCAACAAACAAGACGGTGCAACAAACAAGACGGTGCAACAAACAAGAAGGTGCAACAAACAAGAAGGTGCAACAAACAAGGTGCAACAAACAAGACGGTGCAACAAACAAGACGGTGCAACAAACAAGAAGGTGCAACAAACAGAAGGTGCAACAACAAGGTGCACAAACAAGACGGTGCAACAAACAAGACGGTGCAACAACAACAGACGGTGCAACAAACAAGAAGGTGCAACAAACAAGAAGGTGCAACAAACAAGACGGTGCAACAAACAAGAAGGTGCAACAAACAAGAAGGTGCAACAAACAAGACGGTGCAACAAACAAGACGGTGCAACAAACAAGACGGTGCAACAAACAAGACGGTGCAACAAACAAGAAGGTGCAACAAACAAGAAGGTGCAACAAACAAGACGGTGCAACAA